GGTTGCACAGAAGAAACATAACGGCTATGAAATAAAAAACATTGTAAACTTCACATTGTAGTACTTGTTCAATATTGAGACATACTTGGGCTGCGATCTTAGTGATGAGTCACAAAAGCACAATCTCAAAATATTATTGTTAAGAGGAATTTTATCTTCCTTTAGGAGCGTTGTCTCTGCAACTCGCACTCATTTGGTTTTTTGCTTGGCAAACAACATGAATTGGATCCCGATCCAGCAGTTTGAAGGGACATACACTTCATTTATCCTGGTAGGTGTGATCATTGATGCTAGCCTTCCCGGGAGGGAGCAAGTTATCACCATCTAACAAGCTGAAATTCGGTGCTGTGGCCATTCACAGTGGAGTGCATCAGTTTTAGCTCTTTAAAGAAGAGTTCTTTGAGGTTCAAGGAAATTGGTATAAGACAAGATATATAAGGCGTCAATGCTAAAAAGAGAGGACCAACAACTAGATCGCAAGTTAAGAGATTGGAGACTAACTACCGTCTTATGACTAGAAGCAATTTGGAGCAGATTAAAGCTTAGTTATAAGGCTCTTCTATTACTAGAGTAGCAAGTATTTTCTTAATTTTAGGTAAGCTTCAAGTGTAGTAATATTCTATGGAATATTCATATTGTGGGGAATATATGTATGAGTCAAGTGAAGTGTGAGCATGGAGTGGTTGACCATATCGTAAGAGGGAGTGATTAAGATTGTGCACTAAGGGAGGACCCCCTCACCAGTTACAAGGTAGCATAGTGTTGTGTCGTTGAAGCTTATAGTCTCTTCTCCGCTGCTTTTTTATCTCTCAGTTATTCTTAAAATTTTGAAGCTGCTTGTAAAATTTTATCTTGCCCTTTTTCATCTTAGTTGCCTGTATATACATGGAGTCAATCGATGGACTGGGTCAGAAGCTACCAACCTCTCCATAATCAGTAAAAATATCAGCCTGGTACTTGGCAGTGAGAAAATGCTCATAAGTTGAGTTTCTAGCTGGGCTTAAAGAGTACCTCACTCAGCATGCCATCGTTTGCGGAACCCAGAGTTTCCCAGGCCTTCTAGGCATCGGACTGCTCATTACATGACCATTGTCAGCAAAGAGCTTCTTTGAGAGTTACATCTTTCTTAGCCATCTCTGCTCTAGTCAACTATTCCTCTTTAGCACAATCACATTTCTTCTTGGCTGACATGCTAAGGTTGAACTCCTCAAGAAGTGACCTCTTCATCCGCCCTAATTCCTTCTCCAATTTGATTGTTTGATGTCGAGTCTTGTTGTGATGAGCTAGGTTACTTTTTGCTAGTTAATTACTTGTTCTTTCATTATGGCGTAGTCGAGTTCTTTGGAGGATAAGCTATTGAGATCCTACAGTTATGAAGGATAGACAACATTGTGAAAGTTGGAGGCACCATGTGAGGTTCTCTCACCAAGGCATGTCATCCCATATTCAGCCTCTTGGCTAACTTAATTCTGAATGCACATGTTCAAATCAGAGCAAACAATAAAATTCCTCACCCAATCTTATCTAAAAAGAAATTTTTCACGCCAACAATTTCTCAGTTAAAGTAAAAAATCTTGCAATACCTTATTCAAATTCTTACCACAAATACTCAAATTTTCCCTAAATCTTCCTTCCCTTTTCCTCTTCCTCAAATTCATTATTTTCTTCCTTTTTTCTTTCTCTGATTCCCCTCTATTCCCTTCGGTTTTAGCTCTAGCAAAGCACGAGAGCTGCCCTTCATCTCCCACTATAGTGCTTGGATCGTGAAATTGCTCAGGTTCGCGAAAACATATAGTGACAGGAGAGGTTAGTTGAAATTAAAGGGCGGTAAATTAAACGCTGCTGCATGAACTTGTAAGTGGAATTTCTCCACAGTAACCATGATTAACTGATCTAATTAGTGCTTAAGATTTATCTAATCAATTTACTTATTTATTTAAAATCAAATATATCAATAATTTCTAGAAGGTATTATCTTCAAATTTGATCAATTCAAATTGTAGAATTTTATAAAAAATAGTTTGGATGGATTTTTGGGAATGCAAAAAATGGTGCATATTTTTAAAATTATTAAAATTTAGCTGATTTAATTCAAATTGGGTACAACATTTTATAGCCAAGTTTGTATACAGTTCATCCATCATTTGGTATACTAGCATGAGTCAATTCGAAATTGTTATAGAGATTTTTAAATTCAGAAAAGATTTCATTAATAACCTTTAACAAGTTGTATCTATTAAGGTAAGCCCATTTAAATTTATTCAACACATTAGAACTAATGTTTAAAAATAAGAAATTTCATAAAATTATAGTATAAATCTAGTTTTTGGCGTCTGATTTAATTTTTTTTCATGAGCCTACCAGTTATTCGTTAGATTCAACCCCTTTCCACCACTTAATTCCACATCCAATTTTCTAATCAGATACTTCTATGCACTTTATTCTTGAAGCTGTTTTTCATGATGAGATTGTACTGATGATGATAGACATAAAAAACATCTTATTCATTGGCGAGATAGACATGATAATGATGATTCATGGATTACACTGTTGGAGGCACATAATTTATGTCAAATTTTGCTTGATGAGTATCAAATGCTAAATTCATTTATGCCACATTTAACCAAGCTTCCATCTCCGTGCTTATTCTTGTTGCAAATATCACCTCAAATATTAATTTTTTGGTGGTTATTTTTTTTTCTTAGTAATTGTTTTCCGTTTTTGTATTTCTGTATATGCTAATGATGAAGGCCAAGAAGTTTTGTTTGCCAAAAAAGGTGATATTTATTTACTAGCTTCAGTTTAGCTTCTTTGGTTGGGATATACTTTCAATTTTTATTTAGTTTAGGTTAATTTCCACAAAATATTGTATGGGTTATTCGATTTGTCATCATTGAATATTTTAAGCTGGGCAGCTTGGTGTAATGTCTATTTATTTGCTTGTCATTTCAAGCGTTGGATTTTGACATTATTCATTACGAAATTAGAAAAAAAAAGATAAACATGTGGAAGGACTTAACCGTGCTTACTGTTTACCAGGCGACATGCAGCTTTGTTTTCACTCTTGATGTGCTAGTGATGTTGTTTGTCTTTTATCCTTGAATTTTGGAATTAAATAAAGTATAAGCTTCCATAAGCCCTTCTATAAGCTTCAACTTTAAACGGATGCAATATGCGACTGAATTGGAGATTTCATGTTGCAGTTGTGAATATTTTATTTGGTGTAATTAACTTAAATTTAAAGTGAAATTGAACCTGTTTCAAGCTTGTCTAATAACCTAAGGTTTATGAGGATCTTATGAACACTGGTTTGCGTCATTTTTTACTAGAATTTTTTTTTTCTTTCCATTTTCAATTTTGTGATTGCAAGTTTTTTCTTTAAGTGTGGTACATTCTTGATGATTGATTTCGGGAAGCTATCTTCTTGTATCTTTCATGATTTAATTATTTATTTTTTATATAATTTATTATTTGTTTAGGGGCTGTTTTGGTCACTTTCTGTTTTTTATTTTTTGTCTATTTTATTTTTATTTTGTTTTTAATTTAACATAAAATAAAAATATGTTTGGTAGCACTTAAGAATTTTCTGTTTTTAAACATTAAAAACAAAATCAAGAAATTATAATTGCCCCCTATACCTCCAGCTCCTCCTCTTCCCTTGCCATCGCTCTGACGACTTCCTTGCCATTGTCAAACCCATTGCCGGTGGACCCCCAATTACTTTTATTTATTTTTATTTGGAAAGATTTACATTCATACCACTCAATTCTTATGTATTTACATATCAAACACCTAAATTTCAAAGTTTATATGTATATCTATGCATGAAAATGTGTATTGCGTTCTTTGTAAAGTCAAAATAGTAAAATTTTTTATGTGATATGAAATTATTGGGTGGTGTAAATATAAAAATTAAAGTTTAGTTGTTATTTATATAAATACTTAAGAAATAGGTGGTAAGCATGTAAATTTATCTTTTTTTTTTATGTTTCATTTTTTCCGAGATATCCCAAAATGTGGTCTTCTTCCGTTATTAAATAATGTTTCCATAACTTATTTAACAAATAATAAATGCCTTTTATTAAAATTTGTTCAGAGAATGAAATATAATAATATAACAACTCATAAATTCTTCATTAGCATTTAGATTCACACGCTTCATTCAAATCATCATCTAATAGTTGTTAATTTGCTGCTGCATAAATCTTATAGCATATCAAGGGATGTCATTGAAGACATCGGCGTCAGCGTCGAAGAAGGCCCCGGGGTCGGGATGGTGGGAGTTGTTTTGAAAAAAAAAAAAAGGTTTTTCCTGTTTCGTATTTTGAAAAAATAAAAACACTTTTGTTTAAAAATGAAATAAAAAACATATAGAAAAACAACAAAAAATATATTTTTTGTTTTATTTTCTTTTTTTTGAAAAAAACAGAAAAGAAAGTGATCCCAAAAGACATTTTAGTTTCATGCTAGATTTTGGTCAAAATGAGATTTGTTGGAAATATGATTGCATTTTATCATCTCTTAAATTCTTTTTGAAATTCTTTGATATTTATGATCATTTCATTATCAATTTGGCTTAAACTACACACTTATCCGTGACATAGTATTTGAGGGTTTAGTTTCGTACCGTGAAATCACAAGTTCGAATCGTACATATTGCCTTTTGGGTTGAACTTTCGCAAAAAAAAAATTGTCTTAAAACTTTTATTAGGTTATTTTCTTGAAAGAAAGCATGTTATTGGATTAATTGGTTACTTGTGCTCTGTTAATGCTTAATTTTCCTTTTCACTAAGACGTTACTTCAGATTTTATTAGTTGCCATTAAAAAAATCCAATATGTAGTTCATCCTGTGTCAAAATATTTATCAATGGTGCTCTCTCATTTATATTCACTATGCTATAGTTTTATTTTTTTCAGCTATTTCTGCTTTCTAATTTATTACGTTGGCATTCTACATCATACGTTGTGCCTACGCTAATGTGTGAAATCATATGTCCAGGTTGATATCTGATCTTGTAGTTGTCATTGTATCTGCAACTTGTGGTGGAATTGCCTTCGCTTGTGTGGGACAACCGGTTTGTGAGACTAGATGTCTTCCTTCTTATAATTATTTTTTCAATAAAGAAGTAAATTATATGCTCTATTCTTCTTGAAGGAATAATAAAAGCATGTGCTGTGAGCATACACGCTTTTATTGGTCTCAGAAAATAGCATACTTTTGTTTAGTTATTTTTTTATGACGTTTTAAAAACTATTGCAGGTGATTACTGGATATTTACTTGCAGGTTCTCTCATTGGACCTGGAGGTCTGAGCTTTGTTAGTGAAATGGTTCAAGTAAGACCTCTTTGTTCGATATCATTGCCAATAGAGTTCCTCAATTTCATGGTTGCTACTGTTTGTTGTATTTACTGCTCATGCAACAAAGATTGCGGAAGAAGCACATAATTCATGAATTATGAATCAAGCCAACCTGTAATATAAGTGATATGTAGTAATTTATCTAGCATAGTTTTACTTATCTATTCTGATGGTATAGCTATTTTCTGTTAAAAGCTGTTGGTGTTGATATTTACATTTATTTGTCTGATTCATGCGAGTTGTATTGAATTGCCAATAAGCTGTTGTACTTAAGTTTGTGATCTAGGATTAACAAAAATAGAGAAGGGAGAGATAAATAAAAATGAAGAAGATAGTGGCTTTTGGTCCAGAGTTTCTTACATAAAAAGGGCGGCATATGAGCAAGAAAACTTAAATAGGAAGGTTATTGGCGGTACTATGTGCAGTTTTATGACATCCCAAATCACAAGGCTTCAAAGAAGAAGCTCTTGTTGATTTTTGCTTCAAAATCAAATATTTTGCATCTTAAAGAACAAATATATTCATATTTGTTAATGATGCAAAATATTGTACATCATAGCACATATAGCGTGGTGTATCCTCAATGCCATTTTTTTGGTGTGGCTTGACGAACCAAAATGACACACGTTACTATCCCATGCATAGGCAATGTTACATGGCACATTGCCCCTATGGAGCGTGCGGAGTTGATTTTTGATATTTAATATGAAAAAAATAATGGAAAATTTATGTAATTATAATTCAATTCTTATATATTTGTATATCTAACATCTAAACTTTGATATATATATAAATTTTTATATAAACTTTTGATAGTTGATTTAATTATTTATGAAAATATTAGATTTTTATAAAATATAATATTTTGAATTTGAAGTAATTGAGATATTGAAACTTGAATTTAAGTATTATTTCTATTGTTTTTTTTTTAATTTAATCTTAGAGCATATTTATCTGTATTTTCTAATATCTTGCATCATATTTAAAGTGGCACACACCACACCGTACATTATACATTGTGGCTAAACGGAGATCTTTGTTCTATAATGCACTATACATTATTCACAAAGGAATATATTTTTAGTCTTTACAATTATTTTGCACTCATTTCTTGTACCCCAATGCAAATTCATCCATATAATTTATTGACTTCATTGGTAAAGGCTAGGAGGGCACTGCGTGTTTGACTTTGCCTCAACCCAAACTCAAAAAGCTTCAACTTTTGCTCGATTCAAATTCGACTTGATATCGGTTCACTACTCTGGTCAAGCCAGTTCAACTTAAAATGAGACAATTTATAGGAAGACCAAAATCATTAAGTTGGGTTGAAATTAACAATTAGGCAGGATTGTTTTGTTTCTTTAATTTTCTTCGCACTCCATCAAACACAACCTAGCTGATATTGAGTTATTAAAAGGATAAAATAAACAGTTCTGATTCTCCAATTTGTTTACATTCCTTTCACTATAAGACTCATTTTATAAAAAGACCTAGATAAAGAAAGCCTAAGAAAAAATGATATATATTGTTGGAAACAAAAATGCGAGTAAGAAAACATGGGATGATATTGGTGGATAAATAATAAAAAAAAACAAATTATTTTAAGAGTTTTGGTCTACTCAAGTGATATAATATAGCGTGAACCTCTTTCATATAGAGATAAAACTAATGAGTTTAAAATATTTCAAAAAGAATGCTAGAAACCCAAATACTATTTACCGTTCAATTAGGAGATATCAAGGAAGAATGTGCCTTATAATAGAAGAAAATTGTGATGACATAATTATAATTATTAAAAGCAAGAAGATAGTAAGAGCTATGGTGATGAATATATTTAGAAAGTAAAAAACTCACTATGATGACGATTGGTTACTAATAAAATCAATGGGAATTCATTCCATGTTGAGGAGAAGAATTGTGAGATACGCTCCATAGAAAAGAAAAGTAGAATGTAGCATTCACTGATTAGGGTTTTTTGGTAGAAGAATGGTGTGATGGGCTCCTTTTCACCACGCTTTTAAGGGTGGAGTACTATGAAGTTGAAACTAATAGCATGAGGCAAGAGAGAGAGTGGGGAGAGAGAGGGATACTGTTTTGTGCAAGTAGAGTGTGAAAGTTGTTGAGATCCGTATAATAAAATCCTTATGATGGGTGGGAAGTTTTATTTGATCAATAGAAGATTTGATTGTGGTATTAAGATTCATTAGTCCAATCAGTGTTCCTGGATTGGCATGGACCAATAAAATAAAGAAGAAACGGTTTGAGGATGAGAGATTGAACCTAAACTAGATATCAATGAAAAGGTCACAAAACTTTTGGGTAAACGATCACAAACCCATATATTAATACTTTCATATTATATATGTACCTCGAATTACATTTTGAGCAAGCCATGTTGGGCTAGAAATCTTCTCAAAAAGCTCATCTTGGAGAATTCACTTGTAGCTTGATTTGAATTTTATCGATTAAGTTTTGAATCGACTTAAAGTTCTTGAAACATTTGAGATTTTAACAAAATTAAAAGTCCTAATAAGAAATTTCCAACAATGAGAATTACTTAACCTTTGTAGAGCTTAGTAAATTAGTTGGAAACTGAGTTGACCGATGATTAAATCAAACAGATATCTAGCTTGAAGCAATGTGTTAGAAACTATTTAGGAAAATTAAGTGACGTTGAATATATTGCACTTGTTGATATACTTTTTTCTTTTTTTTATTTTTATTTTTGTCCATTTGCCGATAATCAAAGATTAATTGGTGACTAAATGTTTTGAGGAAGATTTTTGAACGAAGAGAATTGTATCGTCCTACTCATAAGAGTCGCAATTAGATTGGAACTATGTTAATTGCTATATCAAACACTACTGAATAATAAATGATTCCATCGTGATTGAGAATACACTTGGAAAACAAGAAAACATACTTCTGTTTGTATTTCTTTGATGTTATGCATTAATAATGCAATGCTATAGATGGGAAAGTAACCTTTCACTTTTTGGAGGCCCGTCTCTACTGCAGGGATGGGTGGAGGTTCTGTGTTGTCCGCTTATCTCATGAGTGAAGTGTTAAATAAAAAAAAAGAAAAATTTGAATGAGAGCTAAGAGATCTGAGTTTCAGCTGTATGCCTTTGATTGTGTTGGAGTTGCCAAATTTTGCCAAATTTTGATTGATTCCCTCGAATATTTTTTTTTAATATTGAAATTGCTATATGCTGAGTTTGCTTGATATCTCATGAACATGGAAAATGCAATGATAAGTTACTTTTTCTCTTGTGATCTTTTGATTTTCAAGTAACTTGATATGAAAGTTACAGATGATGGTTGCCAGATTCCTGGCAATGAGATTCTGTGGCAAAATAGTGAAAATTTTTTTTTTGGGAAGGCTTCTCATTCCTAACTGGATTTAGAATGCTGGTATTTTTTTTTTTTGGTGGTGAATGAATATACCTTTGTATTAGATTCAAATGAAATATGACACTCAATAGGACATAATGAAGAAAAAAGATTCATTTAGCCGACCCCTTTTAGTAGGATAAAGGCTTGTTGTTGTTGTTGTCGAATGAATATCCCTTTGTAAAGCTTTTTTTGTTAGTGATGTTATAATATGTTATTTTTTATCAGAAATTTATTTTATTTTATTTTTATTTTGTATTTATGAAAGTTCTTTGCTTTAACTGTATTTTCAAAGACCAAATCTAAAAAACATTTACTTTATTTTCTACTTTTTTGTGTTTTTTTTTAATTTTATAAATTTTATCTTTGGATAATTTATTATTTATGATTGGTGATTTGTGTCGGTTAACTTTTTTTTGAAAATAATCTGAAATTAATTTAATATAAGAGGTATATAATTTTTGTATTTTGAAAATAATGATATTTTAATTTTTGGTGAATGGATCTCATCTGTCTAATAGTTCACATGATCGTTCCCGATACCGCAAATACTACACATTCCAGAAAGATAAGTGTATACTTCGATGATGGACCCAATCATGCAAACTAAGAGATTTGTGACATCCGGTTGGCTTGCAAACCTTTTTGTGTGACCGATTAATTTTCTTATATAATACAAAGATTAAATAAGGTTTATTTTACCTGGGTTTAAAGTTCACTATAGCGACAAACTCTATAGCTAATTATATCTCAAATGAACGAGGTCACTTGAGAAAATTCTCGATAATAATTAGATGTACAATCTTTAAGAATTTAAGGTTTAGGTTTTCACGGTAGGACGTGGAAAAATAAGTGAGAGTGACTCAAGTAGGAACAATTATTTTCAGGAGTCGAAGAAAGAAAATGGTAGGGGACGTCACAGATTCTGAGGAGAGCCCTCAGTGACTTCCCAAACTATCCTATTATGTGACTGCGTTTTGGAGACGATGTTATTTAATTGTTTAATTCTGCTAATTTTATTATTTTGGGACTTACACTTGTATAATGACTAATTATACAAATAGCCCGCGGAGATAGGAGGGTTTTCGTCGTACCAGACGACAACTAGGGCGATTTAGGACTTAAAACTTCATAACATGGTTGCACAGGAGCCTAAAGAGGGTGTGAGGATTTATGTTGTGCTGGGCGAGCTACCTCGAAGTCTTATGAGTTATTCGATCCAAGCTCCTCGCCGTGCTGCCTATGAAGTTGACTCTGAGTCTCCTGTTGTAGTAGTAGCTCCAGGGTTTAAGGGTTGGAGGTTTGTGGTTCATATGTCACATTCTGGTTTATTCGTTGTTGTTGTTCAAATATTAGAATGTTCAGGGGGGAATTTTAATTTAATTTAAGCGCTTCAGTTAAAATTTCACGGTTCCATCATTCCTACATCACTATTTTCTTTTGAATTTACTTAGTCTAAATGAGTTAAGCCCATTTAGACCAGAGAATTCCCGTTAGCAACCGTGGGTTACCTCATTCGAGAGATCCTCGTAAATCCAAAAGGGGTGGATTGAGGGCTTTCACTAGGTTTAAAAGTGTGTAAATTTTCGAAAATGCATTTTTGTTGTTTTGTAGGTATGTAATGTAAGCACAACATGCGTGGTAAAGTAAGAACATTACAACAAAATAAATTAGTAAGAGACTGCAGTAAATAACTATAAATGCGTATTTGGGCCTCTGCTATTCCCAAACAAAGACCTATGCAAAGCAAACCGGGAACAAATATGGGCTGTTTTGTTACATTCTCTATATGCAAAGAAGAAAAAATCTTGTTTGAAAACAATTAAAAATACTATGTCAGGATTTGGGATAAGGTGTTTCCAAACCTTGCTTTTCATAAAGCAATTGATGGACGCCTCGTTGTCCTCTTCAATGATATTTCTCTTGCTTTCAAACATCCAAGGCCTTAAAAATGTACCACTATAAAGGACTGTCATACTCAACTTGTGAGCTAACCCAATGAACTAACCTCTTCCCAGTGTTTTCCATTTCTAATACTTTCTAGGAAGCATTATAAGATCTTAAGAGGAAGCAGGCTTTGTTGATCAGTTTTAAAACCTCAATTTGATGATCATGACTTTTTTGATGGATACAACCAAAGGCTTTACTCAAATTTATGAGATGGACTATTTTGACACCTTTTTCTACTCTGTACTTATTCTCATTTATTTGCCGCTATCAACCAAGGTTAACCGATACTACAGTTGGAAGTAATGATTATGATGATCTCACTGAAGTTGCTTATTTGAAATAATCATCAAAACACGTTGTTCAAGGGAGATTACAGTTTGCATTTTCAGCAAGTCTATGTATGAGATTTGAACAAAATTACTTTGGAACAGTTTCATTAAAAATGTATTCCTGAGATAAACCAAAAGAAATATAATGAAGTAGGACGTGGATATCAAAATTTTAAACGTTAAAATTAGATGTTAATGCAACAAGAGGAATTACTAAGAGGTGGTGCAATTGATGTTTAAACTATTGATTTGAGACTTTGCTATTTTGGGTTGTCATGTATGTGTATAGTCATGAAGCGTACAAACCTTGAAGCGATTGATGGTAATGGAATTATAGAGATTCTTGGTTTTGATGACGACCATAAGGATGTCAGAATTGGGATGTCCTTGGTTGAGTGAACGAAACTATTCTATGCATTTATTCAAAAACTTTATGTTTCTTCTTTTAATCTTAGTTGGAAGCTTGCCTTATTGGAAAATTTATCGGGCTGCTGATGATTTTTGAAATTCAATAAATTGGAAATTGTTTTAGCTCTTTAAATATGGTGATGATCCAATTAATGACCCTATATGGTTTGTTTGATGACTATTGTAGCTGCCAAGTTTCCACCCTCGGTCAAGATTCTTCTTAAATAACATTTTTTTATTTTTCATTTGTAAACTTATTTATTTGTCAATCTTATTCACATGGCTCCATTATGTTGGTCTTGTTGGTTTTTTTATCAGGAATTTGATCATAGGAATATTTACATTCTCTTGAGCTTGATTTCTTTTTTACTATTCCTAAATTGCTTCTCTCCCTGTCAAATCATCATTAGTTTTTTATCCATTTTAAATAAAATATTGGTAATTATTGATTTTCACAGGCACTTTGATCATGTACAACTACTTCAATTATAACTTTTCAAAAAAAAAAAAATGAAAAAAATGAAAACACTGCTTCAATTGAAAGTGATCTAATCCATAGTGCATTGGTCAATCTCAATATTATATATTTATCATTGTGTTCTTATGTTTTTTATAGTTGATCCTCTTTCTCGTGGCATTTTTTTTCTGCTGTAGGTTGAAACAGTGGCCCAATTTGGAGTTATTTTTCTTCTTTTTGCACTAGGATTAGAGTTCTCGACGGCAAAGGTAACATTTTTTTTTAAAGTTGATAATCAGGTCAAAATATTTTCAATTATTGCAATGACAACCCATTCAAGCAGGATTGTAACATGTAATTAAATCAAAATGCTTTTGCAGATCCGGGTAGTCCGTGCTGTTGCTATTCTTGGTGGCCTACTTCAAATTATTCTCTTTATGTGCTTATGTGGAATCACTGCCTCGGTTTATTCTAAAGCTCTAATATATTTTAGTTTAGACTTTTTTTTTATATTATCTGTCCTAATGTCCAATAGTTATACAGTAATCTTGTTCAGTTATTATTGTATATGCACGCCTATTTATATGTTTATGTAAACCTGAGAACATTACAATAACATTTTTTAGATTTTTCATGCCAATCATAAAAACCTTATTGACCGGGTTAAGCTGTTGATTTTTGTCATATTTTATCATTTGTTTAATTAATTTTGCTGAATTTCATTATTGCACGTTGTTGCCTTCAAGCCACATATTAGCTACTTGAGGCTGTTAATTTCTTAAACAAAAAATTTATTGATGGTTGAATTGCTGTTGTTTTGTATGGTAGATAGTTATGTAAATAAATCTTGGAATCTACTTAATTCTGATGAGATTTTATGAATTATTGTTAAGCTTGTTGTATTATGTAAAGCAATAGGTCTGCTTTGTCAGGGAAATGAAAGGATTCTGTAAGCTTGATAATTTTAACAGTTGCTGCACCTTCATGCTATATTGCTGAAGGTTTAAATCTGTTAGTTTCTTTTCTTCTAAGCATTCTATAATCTTATTTCCTATTCTTTATTTATATTACATGCTGTTAAGAAAAATGGTTAGTATTCTCGTTCTTTGCAACCAAGTTATTTCATGTTCATGTTTTTTCTTTTTTCTTTCATGTTCATGTTTTTTCTGTTTTCTTTCATGTTTGATTCAATATCTCTCCTGTAACAATTACTTAAATTTTGACCTGTCTGCATGCCTATTCATATGCAGTTGTGCGGGGGTAAAGCTACAGAAGGTGTATTTGTCGGCGCTTTCTTGTCAATGTCCTCTACAGCCGTGGTAATTATTCATGTCGTTTCTATGGTCCTGGGAAGTTGTGGTTGAATATTTCACTGTAAATAATGTTATATTAGATTAGCATCTGTTTGGTTTTTATGAACTAAAACATTTCTTCTGGTTGCTCATTGTTGAGAAATTAGTGTTTGTGTGACATTACTATTGTCTTGAGAGAAATATTTGCGTACGTCTAACGTACGCAGAGCTGCGTACGTCGGTCTGTTACAGGGAGGGTATTGGAGGGTTATATTCACGGTATACCCCCTGTAATCTCTCTGTAACAGGTAGGTTATAGGGGGTATAACATGGATATAACTCCCGAATACCCTCACTGTAACCTACTGACGTACGCAGCTCTGCGTACATTAAACGGACGGAAATATTTCTCCTTCGGAAGAGCACACATTTTTGTAGCACTACATGTGAATTCTCTATGGATATTATTCGTGTTACACCTGTCATTACCTTTCAATCTTAGAAAACTAGAAGCTAGTTTAGAAGGTTGATAGTGTTTTTTAATAGCATTTTTCTTATGTGCGCGTCTTCCTATGTCCTTCACCATTTTCCAAATTTTGTTACTGATGTTTTTCAGTTTTAGTCTTAGTTATGCCAGTTATTTCGAACTTAAAGTAACTCCTACATGATGGACGTTGGATATCATCCTTAACATTTAATTTTTCAGCATTTATACAAACTTTCATCCATTTAATGAATATTTCTTATGCCTGACTTCAATATCAGGTTGATATACTAGAATTGCTTCCATGGTTACCTTAGGTTATAGATTGAAATCTTGAAAATCACCTTCATGACAAAACGTAGGCAGAAAGGCTTTATGCATGTAATCCTCCCAAATCTTGAAGTTTGTCGGAATGTTGTGGGCTTGGTGCAGCCCTTTCCTGTTCCAAACAAGCCAAAAGATAGGAGAAGGTGCCAATTGACGTTGACAATAGTTATGATTATTCAAAAATTGTTTCCATATTTTACCATCGAGTTCTACAAATTTTATAGTGTGGAACTTCATTTCTTGCAGCTTGTACGGTGCAAAACAGCTAAAACGTTCCTAAAATTTTCTGCACAGGTTTTAAAGTTTTTGATGGAAAAGAACAGTATCAATGCCCTTCATGGTCAGGTTACTGTAGGAACGCTTATTCTCCAGGTAGTGTCACGTTTGCTGAAGATTATCTCTATTATAGTAAGCGAGAGATTGTGCAATTTTGATTTGTACCATATACTGTCCCCAGGATTGTGCTGTTGGTTTGCTGTTTGCTCTCCTTCCTGTACTACGTGGCACTTCTGGCATTCTTCAAGGTGCAATATCAATGACCAAATCGTAAGTGAACTGAGCTAACCCGTTGATGTATATTTTTTAGTTGTTTTTTTTTTTTTTTTTTTTTTTTTTTGTGTATAGGCATAAGAAAATGCCATGGCCACCCTGTGATTAGTTTGAAATGTTGCAGAAGTAGGATATTTTGAATGATCTCTTTCTTGCTCAAGTTTCCTCAATGCTAGGCTTCAGAAATAAATTCTAGGACTGTAGCTCCCAAGCAATATTATCTTAAAAGGTTTTTTTTGGTATTTTTGTCGTTCCTTATGAGTTTTGCTCGTCATATGATATTAATCAATGACTTGGTCTGCATGTGACTATAAGCTGCAATTTGGTAACTGCTTCCATATGATAAACCTGAAAGTTATAATCTGTCTATCTGTAAAATGTATATATGGTTCATTATGTTTGACTCAATGCTCTCTACATTTTTTTAAATATTTGGCTTTTTTAATATAAGATATTTATTCTATGAAAGTCTTCTTTTCTAATTGTTAATATGGTAACCTGGGAAAAGGTGTTAACATTGAGTTCTTGAAAAAATAAATAAATAATTTTTCCTCTATATGTTTCATATTACTATTTCGGAAAGCCTTGAATAACTTTTAATCAAATTGCTGAAGAAAATGTTAGTTCTTCCACGTGATATTTAAGTTTAAAAGCAGTACTTCCTTCATAAGACCCTGTTGCTTGCACGTGGTAGGATTGGATTTTTCTAGATCAGTCTTTTGTCCGCCCAGTGATCGGTCAAAGCTCTGTTGCTCCATGTGGCACGAGGTGGTTGTATAATGGGAGCTATAATGGGTGGAGAACCATTCATCTCAGTTTAATCAAACTCTGTACAAACAGTATATTAAATAACCTTTTATTTGTGGGGTTTTTTTTATTTTAGCTTAATTTTCATCATTTCTCTTTTACTCTGACTGCAGAGTTGAGGTTTATAATTTTTTTGTCATTGCATCTTTAGCCTAATGATGATTTCTGCTTGTTTTCTGAAAATTATAGTCATGAATTTTTATGCTAATTCTAATTGCTGATTATGAAATACCCTTTCACCAGGTTGGTTGTACTCTGCACTTTCTTGTCAATTCTTTCTATCCTATCCCGGACATGTGTCCCTTGGTTTCTTAAGCTAATGATAGCCCTTTCATCTCCGGTATGTTATCCTTAGCTGTGTTTCAACTGTAAGGATGGGTTGAGGCTATGATATATTTCTATATTTGAGGTTTTTTCTAACACACTGCTCAACTGCAGACCAACGAACTTTACCAATTGGCCTCAGTTGCTTTCTGTTTGCTTGTTGCTTGGGTTTGTACTCTGAACACTTATCTTTGATTTAAAAATCCTATTAAAATTAGAAAAAAAATTACGTTTTCCTTTTTTAAAGATGGTTATATATTTGTGTATTTGATGGCGTGTACAGCTTGTGTTTGTGTTCTGTATTTTTTTTTGGCCCGATCCATATTCTTTGCTTATGCCATACCTTGGTTGTGCTGTTCCTATGCATCAAAGCATGGAATTCTATGCCTATCAAGTTGTTATTTGTTAACTATGATTCTCATCTATATGGGAGAGATTTGTTTGGCTAGAATGTTAGATGGGAAAACAACATCACCGTCATTCAAATAAAAAAAAAATCATTTAATTTGCCCTTAACAATGCCTCATGAGTTGCTTTTATCAACTCTAATCCTCTTCTGCATTGGAGAGAATTGTTTGACTAGAATGTTCAAAATTAATATTGGGAACTTGACCTCTAACACAAAGTAAAGAAATAAATTACCTAGTTTTGTGTTTTGCTCTTATTGTTTGAATGTTTTCTTTTACTTAAACTTCATTGAATGTTTTTTGAGTTGGTAAATCTTAGATTAGTTTGGTGATCTTGTGTTGTAATGCAAACTATATCTATAAGAGAAGACATTGTTATTAAAAATGCGCTTCACAGCTCGTTGTCCGTGCGATGTGAAGCAAAGCAACGGTTTGTGTGCGGTACTGATTAGTGAAGCACGTGCTTCGCACTGAAAGAGCAATTTGAAGTATTGAAGTGAGCGTGTCGGTGAGTTCATGAGCGAGTGAGAGAAAACAAAACTTATAAGTTTCAGTTTGATGTTCAGAGGAGCTGCAAGGAGCATAAGTTCATGTGTTGGAGACTTTGAGGGAGAGCATCGTCTTTGATTTTGATTTCGAGTCAGAGTTTGAAGCAAGCTTCTATTCAAACACTGATTTTTCCTTTGACGTCATTTGCGGGATGCTTTCGATTGCAGGCCACAAGCGCTTTGGCCGCAGGAGGTAGACACTTCGGTTACAGGAGAAGTTTTGATATTCGATCGTTCTGCAGGAGACACTTGGATTGATTGACCGTATGAGATTCTTCAAACTTTGACCGCATTGCAGGATAAGCTTCGACCTTCGATCGTAGGAGAAGCTTTGATAGATTGACTGTAGGAGACATTTCGATTTGGAGATGCTTCGGCGCACATCAACCTTCAACACTGCATGAGAAGCTTCTCCTTTGATTGCAAGAGGTTTGAGTTTGATACATTTGATCGATTGACTGGGTGGTATGTATGTAAACGCCCCGTTAATTTACCAAATACATTCTTTTAATTTATCCAATAATTTGATTTCTTCTACCAACCATCATAATTTCTTTTTTTTTAAGCCCGAGAAACCAACACTTTTTTTTTTCAGAATTTTGTGAAATATTTATCCAATACATTCTATTAATTGGTTGACATTTTTAAATTTCAACTATATATCAATATTTAACTTGTATATGAAATTGCATTTTGTATTTCTTATAATATACTGCTTATTTAATGACAAGTGATCCACCAATAAAAACTGGAGATTTTTTTTTTTAAATAATTTTGTAAAAGATCAGTTTTTTTTTTTGTTTTTTGGGGGTGGGGGTGGATAGCATTTTTTTAAATAATTTGTTTTTTGGGGGAAGATTTACATACATATAACTTAATTCTTATGTACTTACATATTTCACCATTAAAATTTAAAATAATGATATTTTGATGTAGTATTAAAATAAATTTCTTTGAAAATAGCAATCTGACAGCCTTTTTTAGTTATTTTAAAATTTGTAATATTAAAATATGTTCTTTTTGTCATTCTTTTTTCTCCGGCAGCTGACGCATAGCTTTAACGAGTCATTTTAAATCTTTGATAATTTTAAAATTCTTAAAATTTCATCAATTTTCTATTAGATCTATATGAAAATGTCCCCATCAAAATTTTTTTAAAACCAATTTTATTTGATAACAAGGGAGCAAGATGCCGATAACTTGCTTAATTGGCCTCACGGACCCAACCATCGATCGAACCCATAGGCAACCTGCAAGAAAATGCGTTATGTTAGTTTTTCTATTCATATATTTCATATCATATTTAATAAAATGTGAAACTTGTAAATTTTAATTAATAGTTCGTTTGTGTATGAAAAAATAATTTATGTATGATCGATTCAAACAAAATGATAAAAGACTCAAATTGGAAATATACAAAAATAAAATATGAATCAAGCACTCTTTATCATATATGTAGTTATTATGATAAGAAAAATGAATGGAGGTATATCTCGAGCTAAAGAGCACCCAATTTGTAATAACCAGTTTTTTTTTTTTTAAATAATATACATATGCCAATGTCGTTTATAAGAGAAGTGCCGCTTGAAGGAAATCAAATGAGAATTCAGGGTCTGTTCGGGGCAGCTGGAGCTTATCTAGCTTATCCAGATAAACAACTTATTTTGATAATCTGCTGTACAACGGCTTATCCTGATAAGTTGACTGATTGTTTGGTTTGGGTGTTTGGAAAATAACTGTTTCTGGATGAATGACCATTCTGCCCCTGATCTGGATAACCTATTTAGCGTTTGGTTTGTGCATTTGGAAAACAGTTGATTTGTAGTTTTTTCTGGATAAATGACCATTATGGTACTGCGCAGTGTTGCTGTTTGCATCAAAACTATAACGACTACACATTTGACAGTTGTGAAAAAAATTACTTCATAACAGTATAAAATTATGATATACACGCCACTTAAAAGTGAATATCAAGATACCTAATAAAAAGAAAAAATATATTGAAATTACAATTAATAAAAGAATGATAATATTCATTCTAAACTGCAAAAGAAACATGTCACGAGCAATGTTGTCCGGTTGGGACGCTATTGAACCCCGACCAACATTTTTTCGGTTGGGAAATCGTCGAATCACAAGAGACGTTCTCAGGTTGGGATATCGTAAAACCCCGAACAATGTTGTTCGGTTGAGATACCATAAAATTGGATGGACTGTTTGCCCATCTGAAGAACTAACAGTCGTCCAGTCCGTCTGCCCATCGTGGACACCTGTAGAACTGCGACCCGTTATTATGTGGCTTGCATGGCGTGAGTAACAAAAAAGGCTGCCCGCAGCGGCATTACACTCGCCTTAAGTTCCCTGAGAACCTGTAGCTCATCTGCCTACAATTGTTTATAAGAGAGCACCTCAGTCAAAAAATTAGATAAAATAAAAAAACCTGTCGAAGTTGAAAATATGAAATGAAAGTATGAGTAAAAAAAAGCAGACAGTATGATCATGTATCTAACAAGCCCACGAAAAAAATAAAACAGAAAAATATATTGCGAAATTTTCAAATGCAAAAAAATACTGAATATAAATATGCTGAATCAAAACAAACAAATAAAAAAATGGCTGGTAAGAGGCCCCAGAGAGCTAACTAAACCAACCAACGAGTCTGCCATAACATGCAGACAGTAGATCTTGTAAAAAATTGAGTTCTTCGTTGCCTTTAACTCATGTGGGACCACCGTCCAGTGCCACATGTGCTTATCTAAAAAAAAGGCTATCCAATAGATCCTTTTATATCGATGCACAACCAAGAAGAAATGACCTTGGTTGCCTTCATTAGGATTTCGCATGCAACCCCAACAGGTAACTCACGACTTGTGGTACATATGTATATCACCAAAAAAGGCCATGCCCGTGGATGCTCATAATCTGAAACACCAACAAAAGGAGAGGATCCTGATTGTCTTTATCAGGATTTCACATGCACCACTAAAACATCGATGAACTGGCCATCCAGAAGAACTCATAAGGTCATATGTTTTATCATTGACCTCACAAACACAAAAAAAAAGGCAGATAACATAAAAACCACAAAAAAATGTTAATATCATAAAATTGAAAGTCACAATGGAACTAACGATGTAAGAAGGGTACATAAAGTATGCAAAATGAAGATGGGGTTAATCAACAGCCGCATATTGCATCTGTGATACGCTCCCTCAAAACAGTCATCTCCGCTGCATCTTCGCCATCCTGGGTCTCAAATTCATGCGACTCCATAACATTGTCTGGAATAGACTGCCTAATCTGGAATTCAAACGCTTCAGACGGGATATTCATGTCGTCAGCATCAACTATATTGAATTCTGTATCAGACTGAAAGAAATGTCGTCTAATGAAATTGTATAGCGCAATTGTGACCACCACAATATGTACTTGTTTAGGAAACGATACGTCAGCATATCACTTAGGATGACCCATTTCTTCTTCCAAACCCCAAAAGTTCTATTAATCATCCGGCATAAGGAAGAGTGACATTTGCTGAACATTTCTTTTCTACCACAGGTGATGCCACTTGATCTCTAGAAATCAGGGATGTGGTATTTGGTGTCTGGAAATGACTTTAAAAGCCCCCGCTGTAAGGGATATCCTGTATTCACCAAATATTATTTACTTGTCATGAAAGACTATTATTGACTATTGATAACAAAAACTAATATGTTAAAAAAAGTAAACCAACCTTGAGGCGGGTGAGGGAAGCGGTGTCTGCTATTCAAACTTTTGGAGAAGTATCGGTTTATTGTCTCTAAGGAATGCTGAAATCGTTCCACCACTCTGATTGATTCATTCTAAAATAGAATGTACAGCGTAATTGCCAACATCTCTCTTGTAGTCGTTCTGAAAGAACCTCAGAGGCCGTGGTTGTTACGTAGCTCGTGAAGGAGATCCAAAAAAATGGGTACACATGCAAAATATGTTGCTGAAACTTACTGGATGTCCAACGAGCATCTCGCTCAGCCATTTATCTGATAAAGGACGATGTCATGCGAGACGTTCGAACAACGATGAAGCGATAGTACTCTAATAGCGATATAGCAATCGTCACCACCATTCTTTTGCGGTGTTCTCACTGCCGATCCATCCTGAATAAATGATTTGTTAGGGTAACTTGCTATGAATAAACTGCTTAAAATAAAAGAAAAAAATGTGCAAATATAAA